TTGATACATATTACAGGGAGAACAAGAAAATAATGAGTATATGATTTCATATGAGAAATTATATTCGAATTAATAAAGTAACACGAACAAATCAAACAATATATAATATAGACCATGACACGGAGACACAATCAACCATTTCAGATTTACTTGTATTCCTTATAATGTTTTCTATTTGTGTTGAAAGATTTGTCCTTACCATGTTCTATCTGTCTATGTATACCACTTTTGGTTCACAGCATTTCCTGGGTGCTTTGTTGGGATAACACAAAGAAGCCAAAACGTCCAATGCTTCTCAAACCCAAATTGCGGCGTCATCACATCGCCAAATTTTCCATCATATCACAACGAGCGTCTACCTTCTTGGAGCTGGTCACTGGTTGGACCACCGGGGACTTATGTTACTATCAGGGGGGAATTCTCTCTGCGGGGTTCTCCACACGTGTCAGGGGGAATCTCGTCCCGTCTCTCTATCGCGTCCCCTTGAGGTACGGGATCAGGAAAGTCACTTAAGCTTTACAGTCAAATAAGACGCACACAACGAAATACGTTTCAACTCTCGTCTTAGTCGGTCTTTTGAGCACTCTATAATACACAGCGCCCTGGGGAAAAGTCCCCAAGACTATCGCAAGGCTGACCCAAGACTCTCCAGGACTGGACTCTAGACTGCGTCTATCGTGCTGTACTCGCCAAGACCAACTCAAACTCTCTTTATTCATTTTCAAAACACTAACCAATTACAAAACAGTATTAAGACTCTAAGGCGTAACCTTCAATCATAAAGCCAATCACACTAAGCACTGAATACGTCATATCTTTTGATTAATCGTTCACTACATTAATAACTACGAATACCAACTGTCAGAAATAGTAGTCCAAATAGCAACGGTTATCTCGTAATTAGTTCCAAATCACTGAGCCAAGTTTCGTTCAGGGCCTCGCCTGCCTAAACGATGACAGACATAACGCAGCCTTTCAGCTAATAATCAGCTAATTAAGTCGGTCAACAGATACGCGAAAACAAATTCATCATATTACGCTGACGTTTGAAACGTTCATATTGAAACCATCGTACATCTGTGAAAACGAATTCGTTGAGATTTATGATTCTCAAACATTGGGATTACGACCCATTGAAAAGTTTACTGCAGAAGCACGTCCCCTAAATGACGATGAATTCCATGGTAATATTGTTCGAAATGTGTGGCGAAAATATGGTTATGAATAGTAATATTACTGGATTCCTTGTTACCTATAAATATGCTAGATATACACCTACAGTATCCATTGACTACTCTTCTCCTGATGGTAAGCCTACTGATTCGTTCAATAGCATTACAGCATAGCACAGCACAGTACACCACATCACACTCAGTAAAACACAGCACAGAACAGCACAGCACAGTACAACACACCACACCACACACAGTGAAGCACAGAACAGCACAGTAAAGCACAGAACAGCACACCACAGCACAGTGCACCACAGCACGGCACAGCACAGCGCATTATAGTATAGAACGGTGCAGAATGGTTCAGTCAAATGCAGTATACAGTACAGTACAGTACGGCACGGTTTCACGTAGTCTCTGTTCGTTAAATAGACCTCTTAGTACATTAGGTGCGTTTGCTAGATGTCGGTGCACAAAGTAAGTTGACTACTTATCGGCAGAAGGTAGAACCATGACGGTTTCTTGAAACTGCTGCGTTCAATGTCCACAAAGTGCATGGCTACGCGTACAAGTGAAAGCACACAAAACCACCCAGCTGATATTCAACTGAAATTCTACCACGGCACTGAAATTCAGACCACATGACGGTCGTATTTATATTACAGAGAATTCCCTAAGTGTAACATATTGAATATACAAATCAGATTCAATGAACTTTAGACAGAACAATGACTATAATAAATTGACTTGTATACGCACAAAAATACATTCATATAATATAGAATATTCAAATATTGTCACAACGGTACAGTACCTGTGTTGTGCAGTGTTGTGCGACACAGCACTGTGTATTGCAGTAAATACAGTACAGTACAGTACAGTACAACACAGCGTATCACATAACATAACACCACACCACACCACAGTACAGTAAATACGAAATGTATATGACAATTATAGGACAGTCAACAATGTTTAAAGCCCTGGATATTTGCTAGATTTTACTCAATCTAGGCTTTTAAGATTACATATTATTTTAACAATTATACGTGTGTATTATATAAATATATTTATTTTTAATATCAGGTTCCCAATGTCCTGATTACGAATGGGTAATCTTCAAGAACAACTGCTATAGATTTTTCAAATATAGAAGTCCGTTGATTTGGCCAGAAGCAGAGCATGAGCATGTTTCAGGTGGCAACCTCATTAGCATAAAGAACTTGCAGGAAATGACGTTTAATCACTATTTGATGACATTGGATTGGTATACAAACAATTCGGACACATATATAGGTACATATAATAATAATAATAATTATTTTAATCTATTAATTGTGTGTACATAATTAACTTTTTATTTTATTGAACCATCTCCGGATAGCATTATTTTAAACTTGATTTGTTGTTTCTTCTTATTAGATTACTCCTCGGATTGCAGTGCAGAGTACTTTCAGTGTAACACTACGCATGAATGCGCATTACGTGAAGTAGTATGCGACAGACATTGGGACTGTGCTGATAAAACTGACGAAATGCATTGTAGTTAGGCATCTATCATTATTAGCAATGCTAATTATCATGAAAATAATAGATTTCATCACGCCAGATATCACCGTTTATTTTAAAATATGTTACATTTTATATATGACAATATTATGTTCATTACTCTCGTTCTTACGTAAGTGCTTGAGTACCACGCCTTATGAGTCTACTTTGTAACTACGACATATCCATTCATTTTTTGATGGGAATCCCACTATGCGTAATTTACATATAAATTGCTTTTCACCAGATAAACTTCATTTTATTTTTCTGTATGATTTCAGAGCCATCGTGCCATAGGTCACAGTTCCGGTGCGATGACGGCGGATGCATTTCGTTTTCATTTTATTGCGATTTCATTGTTCATTGTCAAGATAGTCAGATGAAGTTGATTGTGGTAAGATACTTTCTTCTATATCACAATAATTACGTCGATCAAATGCACGATAGGATTAAAATACCAGCAAGTTGTTTT